GAGGAGGCGGGTGCGGGGGTGCGGGGCGGCGGAGAGGCGGCTGGCTGCGGAGAAACGGCGGCGGCGAGGGGGCTCTCGGACGCGCGCTCGCCTCTCGCACACCCGGCCCGGACGGTCTTCCCCTTGGCAAAATCTCAGCGCCTTTATAGGAGCCTCAGTGACCCTCCTAATTGGTTATTAATGACGCCCTGACGTCGGAGGACAGACTTGTACCGGCCGGCTCGAGGAGCCTTAGCCGCCAGAGCTCCCCCTTCGCTCCCGCCCCTCCTCGGCCCTTCCTCCCCCCTCCTCTTCCTCCTCCTCTCCCCGTGGGAAGCGCCAGGCAGGGAGGGAGGCTCAGCCCGCGGCGAGGAGAGGGGACGGAGCAGGGGAGGGGGCGCAGCGAGGCTCGTTTGGACTCCGGGGACCGGACTGGGCAGGAGGAGACGCCGGCCTCGGCCCCGCAGGCCCCGCGCTCACCCACTGTCCCAGGCCGGATCTGCACTCATCATCCCGGGCCTGACGGGTCCCAAGCTCCTTTCCCCGGCCAGGGCCTGGGCTCTCTGGGGCTCCAAGCCCCGGACTGCGGTAGTCGCCTCGGAACCGCAGGACCGCGCGCGGGCCCGGCTGATCTGCGCACACTGCGCTGCCGAAGCGGCGCTTCGCTTCAAACGGGCGGCTCCAACCGCCCGGCTCGCCGCCCTCACCCGCGTGTGAAACCCATCCCTGTGCGGAGAGGGCTGCAGGGCGGGGCTGCGGCCGCCGTCGGGGCTGGGCCGGCCGGGCCTGATACGGCTTCGCGGGCGATCTGCTCCCGGCCCTAGCGAGGCTAGGTCGGGGTCCGGCAGGACGGACCAAATCCACACTAGCCATGGGTCGCTCGGAGAAGGCTTTTCTGCTGGATACAGGATGGGATAGAAAGGGGTCCCCGGGCCGTGAGAACTGCCGTGCCCCAAAGCGACGCCCTACCCATCTGCGGGCAGCCCCCGCCCAGGCCACCGTCTGCGCTGGGCTCAAGGCTCCGGCCTCCCGCTCCTTCCCTCCGTAGCGATCCAGGGAAGCACGCTGCCTCCTGCATTTCTCGCCCCCCAGCCTTTTCTCTTCTAACCTCCCTCTTCTTCTCTTCCTTCCTCCCTAGTCCCCTGCCCCCCCAATCCCACCAGGAGACTTTCTGCACGAGGTTCCAAGGCACTCCAGTGCCAGCGCGGTCTCTCCGGAGACAGCTGCTGAGCCCGCAGCCAACGCGGGAAGGCCACCGTTTTTTGCCGCCTCCCGGGTCTAGCCTCAGATCCCTGGCTCCAGCCCTAGACACGGGAGACGGGCATGGGGACACTTCCCCTACCTGCGGACCTCCTCGATCATTGTCCCCCATCTCCGAAATTTAAGATTTCGTTAACAGAACCGGGTTTTCTGGCCATTGGAGGTGTGGGTTGGGCTCACAGCGTAGCTGGAGGAAGCCCGCTTTCCAGGCCTTCTCCGCAGGGTGGAGACTTTGGTGGAGGGGCAGGGGAACCGGTCTTCCCAGGAGGAGTCACTGTCCTCATGCCCCTTAGCAAAAGACTCCGCGGGGGTCCTGGCCTTTGCTAAGTCAGCCTTACACCCGGTAGCCTTGGGTCCCGGCCTCTGCACGCTGGCTGGGCGTCAGTGATCTCCGACATTCCAGGATCGTATCCTGGTTGTAGAATATAAGGTCTCTCCGACCCATCAACCTCGAGGCCGATGACCGGGAGGCTGCGCTGGGCAGAAGGCGCGACCTTCGGGCCGACGCCAGCAGAGGGCAGCGCTGCGGAGGAGAGCGCGCAGCCCGCGGGTTAGCATCTCTTCCAGACGCCTCCAGCGAGCCGCACTGGCTCTGGCTTGAGCCGAGGGGGCTGACGGAGTCCGGGCACGGGGGCCTCACCGGCGCCCGGGCCTTGGCTTCTACGAAGAGTTGGTGGAGGAGAAAATGCGCCCGGTGCGGAAAAGACGACATCGCGGAGCGCTGCCAGGAGCCGCGAGCTCAGCTCCCAGGCCCCGCAGCCAACCGCAGCGCCTCTGGCAGACCAGGGGGGATGAGAGCTGCTTGGGGCGCCCCTTCTCTTCTCTGGGTCGCAGTGTCCCTGTCTGTGCAATGGTTTGGGTTGGACTTTGTGAACCCAAGTTCCTTCCCGCCTTGTCCGCCTTTGGGTCAGGTCACTTTCCTCTGAAAGTTCTGAGGATTCTGCCAATTCCCGGGCCACGCCCTACCAAGAAAAGCCCTGTGGGGCGCAGCATGCGTCCTGACCCCACCGAAAGTCAGGAGAAAGGACCGAGGGCTGTGACCGCGGCCAGGGAGCCCTATTCCTTTCCTGGAGACCCGCAACCCCAGGGAGCAGGGCTGGGGGACAGGTGGACACAGAGCGAACAGCCTCCCGGCTCGTGGGCCGGCTGTCCCCGCGCGCCTCCAACTGCGCACTCAGACTTCGTGCTTCTGGTCTAGCCCTAGACCCACCTGGGCCGCGCCCCAGGGAAAAGGGGTACTACCTATAGGAAGCGCACCAGTCTCAGGACCCATTAGAATTGAGGACCCCTGAGCTGAGATCGCGCTGAGATCGCGAGGGAAAACATTGCGCATTGCGGGCTTCCCCCGAGGATGAACCGTGTTGTCTTCCGCGGGGCCCAGGCGCGGAGGGTACGGGTGTCGAAGCCCCCTCCGCCAGCCCGGGCCGGGCCGAGCTCGCAGGCGCCGCCGCCCCTCGCGCCCTCGGGCCGCTGCTCTGCGATCTCTTTAATATTCATGGGCGTTAATAGAGAGGCCCCCAGTATATCGGTCCATTGTGGGCGGCTCGTAGGGCTTGAATAGGCCCCGGCCCTCTTTCTTCGGCGCGGCTTCCCGAGGGGCCGGGCCAGGAGTGAATGGCCCCGCTTCCCGTCCCGCGCCCCCTCCCCCTTGCAGAGGGAACATCTTTATCCCCGCCGCCGCCGCTGCCGCCGCCGCCGCCCGGGCCCCCATTCAGGCGGCCCGGGCTCCAGGCGGAACGAATCAATCGGCTGCGGCTCTTCGGAGGTCACCCTCGTGGCCCGGCTCCCCCTTCTCCCGGAGACCACGGGAGTGAAGAGAGGGAGGCTGCCGCAGGCCGAAGGACTCACGGACTGGGGAACACGGGCGGGGTGGGGCGTAACAGAGGGGCACGGGGAGGGGTGGCCGGGCCCCAGCAGGTGAAGAGGGACTGAGTGCAGCGGCCGGCCAGGGCCCGCTGATTTCTACTTGTTGCCCGGAGCAGGGCGGAGCGCGGAGAGAACGAGGGCCGAGGCCTAAGCCCAGAGTCCAGTTCTACCTTCCCTCGAGGCAACAATGCTCGCCCCTTGGGGCAGATCGCCGCACCCGTGAGGCCGGAGGCATAGGGTGCGGGGCTCCCCAGGCCCCGAGGCCCGGCCCGCCGGGCACTTTCGTTCCCGCAGGTGCGCGCAGGTCCGGACACGCACTTCAGTAGGGCGTTGGAAGCGGAGGCCGTGTTCTCGGCTCTGGGGTGGAAAAGGGCGCGAGTCGGCCGGCGAGGCCAAGGCGCACAGGTCCCCGCTCCTCCCGCCCCGCCGGCCCTCGGAGGCGCAGAAAGGAGCCCATTGTCCTCCGGGAAATACATTTTTGGGGGCCGAGTGAAAGCTCGTCTTTCTTTTGAACTTTAGAAGAAAGTCTTCTGCTCTCGCCCCTTGAAGAGAGAGAGATTTGTGCCCCCCTCCCGGGGCCGCGCACGCCTCCTCCTCCCAAAACATCTGCCAGGGGAAAATCCACCCTGGAGGGCAGATCGCGCTCGCTCTAAGCCCCGCGAACTCATTAAAAAGATATTAGCGGCGGGGGCGGGTCCCGCGCAGGTATCGATCG